AAGTTGATGGTACAACCATTCTTGGCCAAGCTTTCTGCATTTTCATTAAGATTAAAAACAAAGTGTAAGAGACAATTTCTTCCCTATTGACATGGGCCAGGGACACCAGCTACCTATATCACAATTTCTGGTTTGACTCCCACTTCCCACTTCCGCTCAATTAAATGTAATCTTTCCTAAGTCTTGAGTGCAATTAAGTTGAGTAATATATTTATATCTCAGTATGGGCCAGCAACCCAGAGCAGGCTAAATGCACCCTCCCCAGCTGTGATTTTGTCTCCAAACCCACCACATCCTATCCCCAAGCCTACATATCCTTCCATCTGTCCCCACAAAACTTTTAGTAGCTCAAGGACCGATGGTACATGCCTTTTTTCAATTGTGCCTATCCCACCGAGTCTTCTTTCACAGTCCCATGAAATGTGTGCTTGCCTAGTACAGCAAAAGTCCACACAGAAAGTCGATGACATAACTGTGCTAAAAGTGACTCCATGGTGGAAGGAGATAGATTAAGTAGAATAAGAACGTGACGATCAATGACAAAAGTTGAGAAAGGACTAAAGTTCCACCCTTTGTCAAGATTTGTCAACTTGGAGGTTATTTATAAGGAAACATAGCCCCTACGTTTCCTTATGTATAACTTTAAAAATATAAAGAAAATTTTAAATGGGTGATATTTGGACATGCCAGTACAATAAAAGAGTGATATATTATAATATTAATTGATATTTTCTTAATAAATTTTGAATTTTAGCTAGTCTGAGATTGCCCCATCAATAACTCTTATGAGTACATGTCTTTAACTGGAATATCTCTTCAGACTGTATTTAAATATACCGTTTGGAAACCCTGAAGATGCTTATTGAAGATATTTGTACTCTGCTTCACTTGTCTCAGTCAACATTTAATTTATGATGATTATATTTAATTGCATGAAATGAACATTTAATTAGTGGCACAGAGATCCAGTCAGAGCTATTTTCATTCCAGTTGAACGTAGTTAGAGGCTGTCCTCCTTAGCTCCTGCTTATATGCTAGACCTAATCAGGGCTTTGAACATTAATAATCCTACATCTCCTTCTGACAAATTGGAATGTAATGTTATACCATTAATGGAAATACTGCACCAAGGACAATTTGAATTAATAAGTGTTTATGTTTAATGTGTTAGCATATTCAGCAGCAATATCCCAGCCAGGTATCACAAAACCCTTGGGTTTCATGCTCAACCAAAAGCAAATCAAATAATTTCTCCACCACTGTCAGCTCTATTTACTAAAATGAAAATTCAAGCTGAATTTGAAGGGAAGGTCAAAATAGCTGAAGTAGAACCTAGCTAACTTATGCCAGTTTGGCTATTTCGACCATAAATTTGAAATTCACTTTGAATTCTCATTTTATACAATAATTGTTGGGTTAATCGGCTAAATAGAAAATAGTGGGAGAGTGAATGGGATTTGAATGTTTTAAGGCCATATAGTTCCAGGTCAGTTTCTTGGCATAATATTTGCAATTCCCTCTCAATTTTCCAAATTTCGTTGGTTGATGAAAAAACTTGAGGAGATGTTTTATTGAATAGACGATGTCTTCCAATGATGGAAGCAAACCTAAAGGGTTCTGCGAGTGAATATAAAAAGTTAATATAAAATGTTCAACAAAAGTGAGGGCAATGTAAAGGCAATGGGAAAATAATCAGTAGAACATCGAGATCTATTTGGAAGGTGTTTGATAAAAAGACACAAAGAATATACAGTGTCACTTTCGAACAAGCTTGTTACACAGTTAGAATAACTATGACAAAGTTCAACAAAACATAATCAGTATGTCAAAGTAAAGCAATGCCCATATGTTCTGTATATATAAAAACAAAAGTAATAAAAACAGATTCACAAATGAAACCCAGATGGGCGATTCAGTACAGACTTCTAGAAAGGGGCAATGTGTCATCTTTAATGTGTGGGAAAATAAATACAATTATTTTAATTATGTATTTTTATCTTATGTCTCTGTTCAGAAATTGGCAGGTTTAGCTGACAGATTTATTTGTTATGAAGTCTAATCTAAAACAGGCTGAATTTTGCCTATTAAGTCATCTTTTAAATTTTTATATAATTTAATGCTGGTGCATAAATATGAGGCGACGTGCTGAAATAATACGAGTGTTTCAGCTAGTCTAGTTATCGTAGTTATTCTTTAACCCCTTAAGGACCAAACTTGTCATGTGTCCTTAATGGGTTAAAGTGTGAATTTTCAAATATTCAAAGTCAATTAAAGGGACAGTCTAAACACCAGAACCCCTACAGTCTCTGTAATGCAAACACTGCCCCTTCTGAGACATGCTATAGCTTCCAGATGTAGGCATCCTTCAGCACTCTAGATGTTGTGGACTACATTTCCCTTGATGCTTTGTCAGCATTATGGATATAAGAGCATTATGGGAGATGCAGTCCACAAGATCTGGAGTGTTAAAGCTTGCCTACCTGTGGCTTAGGCACTGTCGATCATGCTGGGTATCAGCTGTTATTAATGCATTCAATAGGGCAGCTCAGGAAAACGATTACTGACTGTGGCACTCATTGGATGAGATGGTAGATCAATGCAGTTGGTTGAAGCTTTGGAAATGGGATTATCATGTTATCATAATACTCCCATGCCAGACTGTACAAATGGATTTATTGTGTTTTATGCACCTTTGTAGTTTAAACTGAAATGTTTGACAATATATAAAGAATCAGATCCTTAATTGCTAAAAGCTATAGGTACAGTTATGTTAACCTAAATTTTGCATTTGGATTTTAAGTCAGTACAATTTTCCCTGGCTAATTCCCTACAGTGTGCAGTTTTGTGAACAGTATGGCGCAGTCAGTGCTATCGGCAATGACTCTGCAGAGGTAAACATGCAGGAGGTACACGCAGCGAGTGAGAATTCAGGAGTTCTGTTCTTATCTTCTTTGCCTTAACAACTGTCTTTTCACTGGAAAGGCAGTGTTTACATTACAAAGTCTGCAGGGACTTTGTAGTTGTTCTGGTAATTATAGTGCCCCTTTAACCTAGCCCAGACTTTCTGTGGCTGTCCAATCACAATGCAGCTCAGTTAAAAGTCTTTGCAAAGCAGCTGCTCTGGGCAATTGATGCGTCTTGAGTCTAGTTCCATTGAACTAACCAAACCAGGAAGTAACAGGACCAATTGTCTGATTGACAGCCAGGGGGGTGTAACAATGTTCATTTATAAAAAATCCAATTTCTATTGAAATCTGCACTTTTTATAAAATAAAAAAAGAGGATGCACTCTTCATACATAAAGCACTTTAGCAAGCTAAAGTGCTTTAAGTATCTGGAGTATCCCTTTAAATAGAAAAAGCAGGTGTAGAGCAGGTGTAGGCAACCTTCAGCACTCCAGATATTGTGGACTACATCTCCCATAATGGTTGTACAAAGCATCAAGGGTGATGTACTCTACATCCAAAATGTTGGAGGTTGACCCATTACATTTATTGAATTCCAGTGGAAATAGCATTGGCTGACATGATAAAGAAATGGTACCCAGAATAACCTGCCAATGGAAGTAGTAAAAGCTATCAATGATATAGAAAGGGTATTAGATATCAGGGATAACCACATAGTTTAAGTAGAATAAGAAAACCTAGAATTAGAATGGATAGTAGATACTTCAGTGGAAGTAGTGAAAGATAAAAATTATATGGTTCTTAGACGCTTGGAAAAGTGGAAAAGATAATGGAAAACTAATGACATCAAAAGTGTAGTAGATGAAGTAGAATTTCCATGGAGGGCCGTGGGGAGATCAAAGATCTCCCTCACCGGCCCACATGCGCTCAAACGCGGCCGCCGGCGGGGAGAGAGGGAGGGAGACAGCCGCCAGGAAAGAGGACCCGGCGGAGCTCTAACTTGCAGCTCCGCTGGGTTTCTCCCGCAAGATCCGGACCGTTGCTATGGCATCCGGCCAGGTCTCGCGAGAGTGAACTCTAGCCCCAAAGGGCTAGAGTTCACTTACCACGAGGACCACCAGGGATGGCTGGCAGCAGCTCTTCCAGGCTACAGGTAAGAATGGAGGGGGGGGATATAATGTATTTGTATTTATTATTATGTATTTATTATTTATTATTATGTATTTATTATGTATTTATTAATATTATTTATTATTATGTATTTATTATTATGTATTTATTAATATTATTTATTATTATGTATTTATTATTATTATGTATTTATTATTATTATTTTTAGTAAAATACCTACCTGCCTCCCCCAATACAAAATCCTTGCAAACACACACATCACCCTCACCCATCACCCTAACACATACACAGCACCCTAACACACACATACAGCACCCTAACACCAGCCCCCTAACATTGACACAGCACCCTAACACACACACAGCACCCTAACACCAGCACCCTAACACACACACAGCACCCTTAACATTGACACAGAACCCTAACACACACACAGCACCCTAACACCAGCACCCTAACACCAGCACCCTAACATTGACACAGCACCCTAACACACACACAGCACCCTAACACCAGCACCCCAACACGCACACAGCACCCTAACACCAGCACCCTAACATTGACACAGAACCCTAACACACACAGCACCCTAACACCAGCACCCCAACACGCACACAGCACCCTAACACCAGCACCCCAACATTGACACAGAACCCTAACACACACAGCACCCTAACACCAGCACCCTAACACACACACAGCACCCTAACATTGACACAGCACCCTAACACACACACAGCACCCTAACATTGACACAGAACCCTAACACACACACAGCACCCTAACACCAGCACCCTAACATTGACACAGCAACCTAACACACACACAGCACCCTAACATTGACACAGCACCCTAACACACACAGCACCCTAACACCAGCACCCTAACATTGACACAGCACCCTAACACACACACAGCACCCTAACACACACACAGCACCGTAGCACTCACACAGCACCGTAGCACTCACACAGCACCCTAACACCAGCACCCCAACACACACACAGCACCCCAACACACACACAGCACCGTAGCACTCACACAGCACCCTAACACACACACACACAGCACCCTAACACACACACAGCACCGTAGCACTCACACAGCACCCTAACACACACACAGCACCCTAACACACACACAGCACCGTAGCACTCACACAGCACCCTAACACTCACACAGCAGCCTAACACCAGCACCCTAACACCAGCACCCTAACACCAGCACCCTAACATTGACACATCACCCTAACACACACACAGCACCCTAGCACTCACACAGCACCCTGGCACTCACACAGCACCCTAACATGCACACAGCACTTTAACACCAGCACCCTAACATTGACACATCATCCTAACACACACACAGCACCCTAACACACACACAGCACCCCAACACACACACCTCACCCTAACACACACAGCACCCTAGCACTCACACAGCACCCTAGCACTCACACAGCACCCTAACATACACACAGCAACCTAACACCAGCACCCTAACATTGACACATCACCCTAACACACACACACACAGCACCCTAACACACACACAGCACCCTAACACATACAGCAAGCTAGCACACACACACACATCACCCCAACACATACAGAGCATCCCAACACATACACAGCAACCCAACACACACACAGCACCCCAACACACACAGCACCCCAACACACATCACCCTCACACACACATCACCCTCACTCACACAGCACCCTCAAATACACAGAACCCTCGCACAGTGCCCTAACACATAGCGCCCTCACACACAGCACCCTCAACACAGCACCCTCAACACAGCACCCTCACACACACATACTGCACCCCCACACACTGCACCCTCCCACACACATACTGCACCCCCCACACACACAGCACCCTCCCACACACACTATACTCCTCACAAATGCACACTACACCCCTCACACACAGCACCCCCCAAACACACTGCACCACTCACACACTCACTAGATACTCCTGAGTCCTTCAAACACACACTAGATCCCCTACACACAGATGCTGCACCACTTACACACACACTACATTTCTGACATACACACTCAGGATCCCCTATGAACACACTAGATACCCTTTAAGCAAACACATAGTGTCTCCATAAATGGGATACAGTGAGTATTCCAGTTATGGAAACCCCTGAGACAAGTTGCAAGCAAACACAATGCAAGCATGTTATTAAATTTGCTTGCGTTGTGCAGATCAAATACAGGGCCCTTTTCTCATGCCCTGGAAGAGCATTGAACCAACATGCTCACTTTGAGATGGGGCGTGCTTGTCATTGGGGATGACAAAACACACCCTATCTGGCCCCGCCCCCTTTTCAGTGGGCCGCTGTAATTAAAAATGCCCGGGCCGAATTTTTTCCCCAGTCCGGCCCTGCACTCTCTCATACTGGTCACTGGAAGTTCAACATGGAACCTCATAGAACTCTCTGAGGATCTGAAAAAAATAATTGTTGCTCAACATAAAATGGCCTAGGCTATAAGAAGATTGCCAAGACCCTGAAACTGAGCTGCAGCATGGTGGACAAGACCATACAGCGGTTTCACAGGCTCCATTCAGAACAGGCCTTGCCATGGTCGACCAAAGAAGTTGAGTACTTGTGCTCAGAGTCATATCCAGAGGTTGTCTTTGGGAAATAGACGTATGACTGCTGCCAGCATTGCTGCAGAGGTTGAAGGGGTGGGGGGACAGCCTCAAACTGCACCAAATTGGTCTGCATGGCTGTCGTCCCAGAAGGAAGCCTCTTCTAAAGATGATGCACAAGAAAGCCCGCAAACAGTTTGCTGAAAGCAATCAGACCTAGGACATGGATTACTGGAACAAGATAAACTTATTTGGTTCATATGGTGTCAAGCGTGTGTGGCAGCAACCAGGTGAGGAGTACAAAGACAAGTGTGTTTTGCCTACAGTCAAGCATGGTGGGGCCTGCATGAGCGCTGCCAGCACTGGGGAGCTACAGTTCATTGAGGGAACCATGAATGCCAACATGTACTGTGACATACTGAAGCAGAGCATGATCTCCTCCCTTCGGAGACTGGGCCGCAGGGCAGTATTCCAAGATGACAGCGACCCCATACACAGCTCCAAGACGACCACTGCCGCTAAAGAAGCTAAAGGTAAAGGTGATAGACTGACCGAGCATGTCTCCAGACCTAAACCCTATTGAGCATCAGGGAGGCATCTTCAAACGGAAGGTGGGGGAGCTCAAGGTCTCTAACATTTACCAGCTCCATGAAGTCATCATGGAGGAGTGGAAGAGGACTCCAGTGGCAATCTGTGAAGCTCTGGTAAACTCCATGGCCATGAGGGTTAAGGCAGTGCTCGAGAATAATGGTGGCCACACAAAATATTGACACTTTGGGCCCAATTTGGACATTTCACTTTTGTTGCCAACGGTTTAGACGTTAATGTCTGTGTGTTGAGTTATTTTTAGGGGACAGCAAACTTACACTGCTATACAGGCTGTACACTTACTACTTTACACTGTAGCAGAGTGTCATTTCTTCAGTGTTGTCACATGAAAAGATATAATAAAATAATTACATAAATGTGAGGGGTAATTTTGTGAGATACTGTATGTTTGTAACATGCTTCTTTTTCTATACAGCATCTTACAAACACATATTGTGTGTTAATTAAGGCAAGGGATACAAATTTAAGGGACCTTTATACATTATTAAGCTTTCTTTAAAGAAAGATCACTTACATTAAAAAAAGAACATAATGCTTACACCGAAACAAGATTACAAGCCAAATTTGTTAAATATTGTGTTTTCTAGCTAAACAGCTGCCAAATTAGATGCAAACTTAATGAGTTTCGCAAATAGTTTCCCAACAATAAGCTCTTTGGAAGAACATTTTTAACACTATCACTTTTATTGATAACATCATCAATGGAATCTGAGGTCCAAACATGGAAAAAACAAGTTTGATTCATCTGTCCTTTCATTGCTTGGATAGTAGGATTTAGCTTTACAAGGAGGCATATTTTAGCTACACAGTGAAATATCTGTTAAATTACGATAAACTATTAACCATAAAGTCAGCTCTGGAAAGACGATTTGAATGCCATAAATGTTGAAAACGAGTGCGCTAGCAAATATTTTACTGTAATGGCAAAACAATAAAATTTTTACTTTTTAATCAAAGCCTACCTTAAAAAACGAGTAAATGCAGAGAAATGTAATGATCGTGATGTTAATATGAGTGTTAAGTGAATGTATATAGAATGCCCTCTGCATCAGTAATTATTTTATGAAAAGACTTCAGGAGGTCTTCTTTGGCTTTTGGAAAGGTAACATTAAAAAGTAATGTATTTCATGGGTGGTCTATCTCATTATTGTATAATTAATAAACTCCAGTGGCGTTCACTCAGAATCCCAAATTCTAGTGGCCTATTTTATTATATGTTCACTGTTTCTGCCCTTATTGTTAACAAAAAATAGCTTGAAAAAACAAAAACAAAACATAATAATGCACAACAAAGAAAATCTACAAAAAGCAGCATCTGGTTTTAAAACCATCAGTTAAAATGGAGATAACTGTGTTGTCATCATGTCAAAGTTGGCAATTTGGAACAATGTTACCTGCTTGATATCTCTGGAACCCACATACACTGGCTGAATAGGGCAACTTGGCGAGGACATGATTCACTAAAGCACATTACCTCTCAGTAGGTTGTTTGGTTTTTGGTCGGCTAAGTGAGGCATCTGACCAAAGAGGACATAAAGAAAGTTAAATGGACAGTATAGTCACCAAAACAACTTTAGATTAATGAAGCAGTTTTGGTGTGTAGATCATGCCCCTACAGTCTCATTGCTCAATTCTCTGCCACTTAGGAATTAAATAACTTTGTTTATATAGCCCTAGTCACATCTCCCTGCATGTGACTTACACAGCCTTCCTAAGCACTTCCTGTAAAGAGTCATCTAATGTTTACACTTCCTGTATTGCAAATTCTGTTTATCTCCTACTCTGTTAATAGTTCACTAGCCACCTATAAAAACTTTTAAAGTAAGTTACATCTATAGAAATTAAACCATTTTCATTCACCCTGTGCAAGCCACAGTTAGGGGAGGTGTCTAGGACTGCATGAACAGAAAAAAAAGTAATTTAACTCCTAAGTGGCAGAGATTTGAGCATGGAGACTTACAAGGCATGCTCTATACACAAACACTGTTTCATGAAGCTAAAGTTGTTGTGGTGACTATAGTGTCATTTTAAGTCAAGAGGTTCAATGAAAATTAATATTTACTAATACAAAATGATGTCGACACAAAGCCTTGATACATGTATCAATAGTAATACAAAATCTAAGGTTTTGATAGTTCAACTTCCCACTGACTACTGTTTATTCATAGTGGAAATTGACAATTTCAAATTGTTGGCCAAAATAGCCAAACTGAAATAGTTCTCTTTGGCTATTGTGGCTAAATATTTGCAAAATCCTAGCCATTTCATAGATTAATGAATAACCCAGTATAAATAATATTTGTCTTATAAAATATAAACCACTGGGCTGCAAGGTTCCTGTTATATTATCTGCTGCAGGTCTGATATCAGCTTTGAGTTATTGCCCTTGACTTATTGCGAACATGTTTGTGGTCTCAGCTAAACTTATATGGGTAGATATAGATCTGTTTATAAACTTCTAAGTAAAATCTAAATCTCATTCCAGTTTTGATTAAAAAAAAAAAAAGAAGACCAACCGAGCTCAGATTACAATAGTTTATTTAATATGTATTCTATGTATCTTTCGATGACCTTGACGTTGATATATGACGTCTGCAGCCCGCGATGACATTAAAATCTATATCTCCCAGAAGGCTGCACTATACCAGCATCTTGAAGGCAGCTATCATTATCGCTTAATAAATTAATAGTAATAAATGATCACTGTTTTTGCTGAGTTAGCAAGTTATTTACAGCTTGTTTGAAACATTGAAGACCTCCTATTGACCCTGCAATTTTTCACCTTTTAATCTATTCGTTGCACACGATAACCATGGCTGTTTAAACCATCTTAAAAATAGATGTTTGCTCCGTATTGACCTCTTTGCGTTTAAAAGGGCAATGTTATAATTCTATCAGCAGTTATTTATTTACCTTTCTGTCTGGCAATGGCGGGGGAGTGCTAGCAAGCAAGCTCAAACCT